GTTGCAAATGTGGTCCTCTTTATATCCTTGTTCTTTCCTCGGATCCACATCGGGCAAACCATTCCGTCCTTTTCTTTCTTATTTTTGATCTTCTGAGCTTTTGGTGGCTGAGGTTCTTCATGAGCCTGTTTTTTCTTTGACAGGGAATACAGTGTTAACTATATTTTCAGCTTTGAGGAAAGTCTTCAGCATGTGTGGATTCTCAATTTTTATTGAACAGTCAAGAATAAGGAAAATTCTCAATTTTAATTGAACAGTCCAGATTCAAGAATAAGGAAAAGCTTGTCCTTGTTGTGCTGATTTTTGAATGGCACTTCAAAATGAGTTTTTGCCCTCTTTTCTGTTTTGAATAGATGCAAGCGAGGATGTATCTTTGCTTAATCACGATCAACTCCCAAATACATGTGTATAGAGCAAACTTTCATTTAGCAATTGCCAAGTCTCTGGTTCTATTGTAGTTATTCTTTAGCTTTGTTCCTTCTTTGCTTACTTGACTGCTTATGGCACATGCTTGTTGAATACTCACATATGGTTAAACGTTCATTGAACTTAGCATTTTTCTTCTTGGTGCAGCTTATGAAAAATATCGTGGTCCTCTTGGAAATGTCAGGAAAGGAGTACTAGTAAGCATCTTTGTTACCCTGCAAAGACACATTTGAGATCTTTTCTTCAGTCCCCTTGTTCTGTTTAACGTTGCTCTATGTTTCATCTTTGTTAAAGTATATATGGTGGGTTATGTCCCTCTGTTCTGCCAGGAATGTTTTCATCTTAAGCTTGTTCAGCCAATTTTCACTTTAAACATTGGTACTATGTAGTGTTGTGTGAATTGGTGTCACTTGGCCAGGCATTTCAGTGTTTTTCTGTCTATTGTCCTTCTACAACTTGTGACTTTCATGCTTCATGCTTCATAGTACCACCTTGAGATGCGTTTACTTACCTGCTTAAGGATGCTAGGTTTGAAAAAATAACACATTTTTCCTCTAGATTTTCTCATAGTATTTTCACGGATGACAATTCGGTCAATTGTAACATTGAAAATCTTTGCAAAGCATCCTCGTTGAACCCAGAATTCCCTTGGACCTTATTCTATTGCCAATTATCTTTAGCACATTTGTTATGAGTACATCTAATTCAGCTTCCCTCTTACACTTTGAGGCAGTTTAGCTTCAGATTTGAATGTCTGGAAAATCTATATACACCACTTGTATTTCGATATAATATCCTCTTTCCATTTGTGGGTAATTGTGCCTCTATTGGTTGAACAGGTATCGATGGGCCGCGGGTTAATCACTGCTCATGCTCTTATGAATTTAGAAGCTCGTGGAATTCTCTTTGTGGCACCTGGGATGGAGGTGGTTCAACTGAACTGTTTGTCAACTTTTTCTCTTAGTTTCTTTCCTTACACTAGGTTCCTATTGGAAACTCAAATATGTACAACCTGGGGGTGATGGCTCTGAGATGTTGTTGCCATTTAAGTTGTGATTACTTATTCATAAAAAGAGGGGGATATGTTTTAAGGCGTGGAATGTATAATAGACTATAGTGCTAGAGTCCTCGTAACGTGAAGGCTTTTAAAAACTGAAATGTCGAAGTAAATGAAGAAAGCAAAATGGACATGCTTTTATGAACAATATAAAAATATTCTGATCTTTGTCTTGGATAATATGCAGACATATGATGGCATGATTATTGGAGAGCATTCTCGAGATACCGATCTTGATGTAAGGAGCTATTGTTTCTTATCGTAGTGTATTTGTCATGTGCATCTGTGACTCTTTGGGTGATTGCATGAAACAGGTCAACCCGGTTAGGACAAAAGAACTCACCAATGTAAGGGCTGCTTGCAAGGATGAGAATGTGAGGTTAACTCCTCCCCGCCTTGTAAGTATCTCATTTTGCTTTTACTGTTTTTTTTTTTGGGTCGAGAAATATCTCATTTTGCATTTTACTTTATCTTCTAGTCGAGGTAGGGGTTCATTAGAAACAGCCTCTCTGCCTTTACTAGGTAGGGGTAAGGTTTGTGTACGTACTACCTTCCCCAGACCCCACTTGTGGGAATATACTGGGTTGGTTGTTGTTGTTGTTGTTGCATTTTACTTTATCTAGTTACAAAACTTTGTGCTGTTGGCATCTTGGATATGCCACTCTTAATCATATTTCCTTGTGTGAAGTGGTTAAAGAATGTCCACAATGAAGATCCCTGCTAAAGGATGTCAGGAAATATAGTTTAGTATCTATGTGGAATGATCCTCTATATTAGTTTTCTCCAATAGTGATAAGTTTCATTCTTCACTGGATAGTTCATCTTCGAGATGTCTTAGCTAAAGGATTTGATGGGTTTTACGTTGTGCTCCTCTGAGTTGTATTGATCATGTTGCTGATTTTCTTGCAGATGAGTCTTGAAGAAGCCATAGGATATGTTGCTTCGGATGAGCTTATTGAGGTATGTTTGGTATTTTAACTTCTCAAACCTGATAAAATGACGTAACTTGTAGTATTACTTATTCTGAATCATGGGTTGCTTGGTCAATAAAGCTTTACTGACTTGCGCAATGGAAACAGAACTGATTTGGAATTATATATTACTAAACAAAAGGAAATAAATCTATGCTAATGGCTCATTTCTTGTAAAAAAAATTGATGCAGGTTACGCCAAAAGCCATTAGACTAAGGAAGAGATACCTGGAAGTGAACAAAAGAAAACAAATGAGCAAGAGACCCAAGGATTGAAGCCTTTTTCTTTACCTTTCCTCGATACCTGTCAAAGCTTGTGCCACCGTTTGTATACGTGAAGCTTAATTATTTTCACCTCTACTTAGGTGTTTCTCATTTATAGATTTTTACGCTTATATAGATAGAAAAGAAAAATGTATCATACAATATTCTTTTTCAAACACTGGATACCAGGAAATGTATTTCGCTGTAACACCTGAGTAAAGGCAGAGTTACTGAAAATAAATGCTCGAACGCAATAAAATTTTGTCCAACTTTTCACTCTTCCCCTTCTCATCGTTCAACCAATTCACTTTCAATTAATGTTTTACTTTATCGTGATACCCTCGAATGTTTTGTTTCATTTATTTATGCTAATTACTTTTTTCCTTTAGTGATGGTTTTAGTATCGATTTACAGCACCTTCATAAGTCACAAAAAAGATAAAATGGTAAGGCAGCTGGTGTTTGAAGCAAGTGTAGTCACGCACCAACAATAACGTAATTGACTTTAAAAGAAAAATTGAATTTTTAATTATATCCATCTTCTTCATCTTCCCCAAGTTGTACCACCGTGGCTGCCCCCTCCCAAGTGAGTACTTCTGCACCAGCATCAACCATGAAACCTTTATTTTTAGTTTCGGTTTTTAAAATATTAGGATGGCATTGAATTTATATCATCATTATCGATTAAATATTTTCCTAAAGTTTCTCGTATTTGTATCGTCCCTCTTTCAGATTGACCTAACTGATAATATAGTTGAGTACCAAAGTTACTTACACTAACAACAATAAGACCAAAAAAGAACCAAAAATTTCTAACCCATCAATGGCTGAAATGGAAGAAACTCCACAAACCCAGTTCTCACGACACACATACGAAGAACTCCATGAATTTTTCCTTCAGATTTGGCCACCCATGAAGCGCACCTGTGACGCCGTCATTCATCGATTCCCCATGTTGAATGTAAAACTCTGATTTTTTTTTATCCTCCTTTAAATCTTGGCAAAAATATTTGGTGGTATGGTGGTAGAAGAAGGTGATAGTGCAGTAATTGGAAGAAGCTGGAAAAGACTTGGTAGAATTTTTTCTAAAAACGAAAGAAAATGATTTAGAAAAATGAAAAAAATGAAAAGGATGGACAATTGGGCATCAAAATGAGCCTTTAGACACAAAATTTTAATTGTTCACTCGCCTCTCATGCGTGTAAAACACAGGAGTGACATGTAATAAAAAATGTGTGTCTTAGACACTTTCAAAAGTTGAGTGTGTAAAAAAAATTCATGAATAAAAATGTGTAATAAGTTCAATAGGTAAACTATGTATTTTGCCGTTTACTCGTGTTCATGTCTTTCCGGTAAAAATGCTATACAACTCATCTCAAGCTGCAAATGAGCAATAAGGTCGCATTTTCAAATTACCTGTCCGCTTTCTTTCTTTGCCTTCTACCTACCTATTGCTTTCTGTTTTGTCGTTATTATGTTCCTAACCCATTTTTACTGTTTCTGTTTCCACGCTAATTAAAAATTCGTCTCCTACTTGAGTTTAAAAAAAAAGAGTAGTTTTCCAGAGGCACCAACCCTTGCATCAGTTAGCCGCAACTTTCGATTTTCACCAACTCTCTTTGGTCTTCAAAAACAAACTACTTAAGAAAAACTACTATAAAATGCAATAATGTGCCAATTTTCTTGATCTAAATTGAATAACATAAGGCACCATTTCTATGTTTTTATTAGTGTGTTAGTTTAAATTACTTGGCAATTGCCATCGATATCAGAATATATGCCAGTGTCACAACAGATATTGACCGAGTTCGTTTAGTGTTAACCTACTTTAGCTCTATCCAACACGTAAAAATAAGTTTGCCTTTTAATACCCGAGAAATCAATTATCACGGAGATATACAAATTATCTTAATTCACATGTCAAATGACAAAGCCAAAGCAAATTTTTGTCCGATAATATTGTGACTATTGTCCATGATGTAATACCAAAAAAAAGTAATTTGAGAAAAAAAAAAAAAAAAAAAC